TGGGTAGCCATAGTGAGCTGTTTTATGGTCGGGTTCTTGTTTGCTCCCAACTTAGCCAGGCTCTTTAGTTGAGAGATGTGTTCTTCTGGATCCTCGCTAAGCATGCTCGCAATGCGCGCGAGATCTTCCTTCGCCTCCAGTATCTGCTGCTTGAGAGGTTTCTCTGGCTCTGCCGACTCCTCTGGCTGCTCGTCCTCGGATTCTTCGTCGACATCTTCCAACGCATCCACTGCATCTTCGTCCAAGGCTTCCTTTGTCTGCTCCTCCGGGACTGCTTGCTCTACCTTTCCTTCCTTCGTCTTGATAGGCAGTCTGTCGCTCTTCTTGTCCTTGCCCTTTTGCTTCTTCGCACGCTTCTCATAAGCTTCCTCAAGGTTCCACTGCGAGGCATTTTGATAGAAGTTGTTTGTGACGGTCTCCGCGTCGACTTCAGGCGGACTCAGGCGGCGCCGCTTTGGCGCTGGTGTTCGCGACATTGTGTCCCGCACTAGCATCGACTCTTGTCAGACAGGAACATTCAGCAATTACAATCGCGAATAGTCAAAGAGTCCAAGTCTGGCCGGACACAATTCTAGACAGCTTTCTCACCGCCTTGCGTCGCTACTATTTTTCTGCCGCGATCTGGGTGGAATTTTTTGCGGGGATGGCACCTCGTCTGCCTGCGCCGACACCCCTCCGTACGACAAGAAACTCTTTCGACCACACGACGCGCTTCAAAGTCTGCGGCTATTGATCTCACCCGTTTAAGACTCCAATACAGGCAACCAATTGGCGAAGGAAGGATCCCGTCTGCTCGTTTCAGAACGCACAACCGCTCCCGCCGTCATGCGCCCCCTCACAGAGCCCGAGACGCAAACGCTCTTCACAAAGCTTGCAAACTACACCGGCAAATCGTTAAATCACCTTTTGACCGACACTGTACCTGCACCAAATTCAGCAAAAGGAAAGGCGGCCACAGAGGGCGACCGACATGTCTTCCGCATCTCCGGCAACCGAGTCTACTATGTCCGGGAGAGTTTGGCAGGATTGGCTACTGCAGTCGCGCGCGACAATCTGCTCTCGCTGGGGACATGCATTGGCAAATTCACAAAGACGGGCAAGTTCCGCATGCACATCACAGCACTGGACGTGATCGCGCCGCACGCGAGGTATAAGCTCTGGGTCAAGGCGAACGGCGAGATGCCTTTCCTGTATGGAGGGCATGTGCTGAAGGCACATGTTGGACGGTGGAGCGAGGACTGCCCTGAGCATCAAGGCGTTGTGGTTTGCGATATGAAAGACACACCTCTTGGATTCGGCGTTACAGCAAGAGGCACTGCCGAGGCGCGGAAGCTGGACCCCACTGGTGTTGTCTGCTTCAGACAGGCGGATGTCGGAGAGTACCTGAGAGAGGAGGACACTCTATTTGCCGGATGATCGCCACGACCAGGGCTGCATAGAGATGCATGGTGTTGGGCGAATATGGAAGATACAGGGCCATAGCATAGCGATTTCTTTGTACCATTTTTATTGGATACCCTTATGATTCCCAAGAGAATCAAATTTATGGTGACAAAATTCGTTTAATAATAGATTTGGGGAGCAGATTACTGCACCCTAGCGGAGTGATCTTAGTAAGTCGAGGGGAAGGTAGTACGTTCAACGTCATTGCTCAATGGCAGAGCTGCTCATGCCTGCCGGCTTGAATAGCATACCTTGGAAGCAATTTCTCCCCACATTGACCACAGTAATGCCAGTAACGATTGGCGTGGATTGATCCTGTCTCCCATATGCCAAGCCGCAAGAATGAAAGGACAACCTGCTTTACGATATGCTCACATGGCAAACAGGATCTGAGCAAGCAAGACAAATGCCGAGCGAAGGCCGGAGTGGGCCACAAGATCAGATAATTCGCGCTGGCTTCAGCCGTTCCGCATGGCACGCCTGAATTGAGTCGTATTGGAACCTGGTCGCAGCTTCCATATACAATTATCATATTGTGACTTGCCAAGGAAATAGATTTTTTCTTGTCATGTGTACCTGTTCGACCATTCAAGTCAACTTCCCATGACAGAACGAGCGATGTCGGCGTCAGTGGCCGCGGCAAAACGACGACAATAGAAAAGACCACGACATCTGATAAGATTGGAAGATCAAAGTTTTTCATTGTGGATCCCGGCCAAGCCACTTAGCGCCCAACCACAGCTCGCGGATGGAACCCTGGATGGAGGCCGCATCGTCATTGCGCGGCGACGGTCCGCCATGGCATTGATTTCGATTCGAAAAGATCAGACCATTCGGTTGTGATGGCGCGTAGCCAAGGCTCGCTGTTGCCTCAATAGTCTGAGCTATGGAGCTTCCGACGATGAATTCTGCTCGCTCGTGCGGCAGTCGGCAGGTCCGGACAAGATGATCGGCATCCACCTCGACCAACGAGACACACGCATCATGGAAGCTAAATGTCATCTTTGCCATCCTAGGCGGTGGGCCCTGGACTGCGCTCTCAAGTTCGGTCCCTGTTGGTTTGTCAAAGGTTTCTTGCCCTAATCAATCTCTATAAATCGTCCCCTCCCGTTCCCATTCCATCACTGTCGCGCGGATCCTCCATCTGATAATTTTGGGTTTATTTTCCCTTGCCTTTGCATTGTTTTTGTGCTTCGGTTTCACATACAATGTGGGACCTCCTTCCAAAAGTTTGGGATCGCAGTCCTCCTGCAGTTCAAGAAGATACCCCCAAGTCAAGTATCGACAATGCCACTACGGACCGCAAGCATGTCACCGCCGACTCTGGAGAGCTCTCTGATGTTGAGAGCCTCCACAAAGATGCCCAAGCTGGTGTGCAAGATGTCGAAGCTATCAGCAGTGCATGGAATCTCAAGTCGCTCATTCTCGTCTATGTCTTGTGAGCCACTGCCAACAGCCAATTGTTCCTACCTTCTTCTGCTAATAGTCCTGGCAGCATATACCTGATCTTTATTATCAATTCGCTCCAAGAGCAGATGGTTGGCTCATTCAGTGTCTTTGTCACCAGCACATTCGCTCTGGCGCCTCTCACCGCGACCACCGGAATCATCTCAAGCATCATTGGCGGTCTTACTCGCCTGCCCATCGCCAAAATCCTTGACGTATGGGGACGTCCTCAAGGGTTCGCGCTTATGGTCTTTTGCTTAACCTTAGGCCTCATCATCATGGCTGCCTGTAATAATGTTGAGACCTACGCCGCTGGTCAGGTCTTCTACTGGGTTGGTGTCGATGGCATCATGTATGTCCTCTCGGTCTTCATCGCAGACACTACGCTGCTGAAGAATCGGGGTCTCATGCTCGCCTTTGCGAATACGCCGTATATCTTCACTACCTTTGCTGGCGGCCCCGCTGCAAAGAGCTTCATCAATGGTGCTGGTTGGCGTTGGGGCTATGGTACCTTCGCGATCATCTTTCCTGTGATCTGCCTGCCAATCATTGGTATCTTCTTCATGAACAAGAAGAAGGCCCAGAACATGGGCATTCTGAACAAGGAGCGTGTTGCCAGCGGCCGAACAGCCCTTCAGTCTATTTGGCATTATACCATTGAGCTCGATGCGTTTGGCATCCTGTTGTTGGTAGCCGGTCTGGCACTGTTCTTGCTCCCCTTCAGCTTGTATTCCTACCAGACCAAAGGGTGGCACTCGTCCATGATCATATGTAAGTAACTTGGCATGCTTTTCCTTCACCTTCTGACATTGTCGCCAGGCATGCTCGTCTTCGGTATTGTCATCCTCATACTCTTTGGACTTTATGAAAAATTTCTTGCGCCCAAGTGCTTCCTCCCGATGGAGCTTCTGTTCGATCGAACCGTTTTCGGCGCCTGCGTTTACGCGGGAATTGCTTTCCTGAGTTTCTATATTTGGGACAGCTACTTCTACCAATTCCTGCTGGTTGTCAACAACGTTTCGATTGATCACGCCACGTATATTCGCAACATATACAGCATCGGCTCCTGCTTCTGGGGTGTCATTGTCGGTCTCCTGATCAGATCAAGCGGGCGCTTCAAATGGATCGCACTGTATTTCGGAGTGCCTATCAGCATTCTAGGCGTAGGATTGATGATCCAATTCCGGCAGCCCGACGTCAATATTGGGTATGTCATCATGTGTCAGATCTTCATCGCGTTCGGTGGCGGCACTACCGTCATCTGCCAGGAGATCGCAGTATTGGCTGCGACGAGTCATCAGAACATTGCCGTGATTCTGGCAATTCTCAATGCTTTCTCCAGCATTGGAGGTGCAATTGGCTCTTCTATTTCGACCGCAATCTGGACCGGTGTCTTTCCCCAGCGTCTGCAGGAATACCTACCCGAGGAGACAAAAGCGGACTGGGCCAGCATCAACGGCAACATCACCGCTCAGACCTCGTACGCAATTGGGTCGCCCACGAGAGATGCAATCGACCGCGCCTACGGTGATTCGCAGCGTTACATGCTTATCGCTGCGACTTGCTTCTTGTCGTTTGGCTTCTTCTTTGTCCTCATTTGGAAGGACATCAGCCTGAAGCACAGGAAGCAGGTTAGGGGACTTGTTGTCTAGATCGTTGTGACAATTTCCATTGGGAATAGAAGCAGAGAAAAGTATTTGTTTGGTCTTGCTTGAGGATGTGCTGCCGCTTGAGAAAGTAGCATTAGATAGTGGCTGATTCATATTTACTGAGACAAGTAGTAATTCAATTACTTGACCAGCACATATCGGGCACTTGCTCTTGTTATCTAGAGATGCCGTCTACTAGTGAAAATCAATGATCAGGAGTTTATGCTGAGAACTTGACACTGAGGTTTCGAAGGCGGGAGTTAGCGTGAACAGACTTGCGCTTTTTTCGGACATGCAGTCAGGATGTGTACTTTGTGCACGGCAGGGCACCCTGCCGTGCACCGAACGATGCCAGAATTCACGGATCGGATATCATAATTCGAAAATAATAAAATTAAAGAGCGTAGTGAGTTGTAGGATATGGCTGTAAAGAAAATTAAAAGTCAAAAACGAAACGATCTGTACAGTCTGCGAGGATCGAACTCGCGACCTTTCGCGACCACAATTGTGAGGCGAACGTGATAGCCACTACACCAAGACTGCTGTACAGTTTTACTGACGAATCAGTATCGGTTGTAAATTTTTGCTCGGTAACGTAATATATATACCAATTCTAAATTTGCAATTGCTGGAACCATGAGGTATTGCGACACGGGGTAATCAAATCACAAGACGAAGGTTACAGGCGGACGTCATAGTCGAATTTGCCTCTCAGTGGAGCGGCCGGAAGATCAAGGCGCGTTATTGGCCGTCTATGACTGACGCATAAGCGAATGGGAGCCGGTCTTGATATACGTCGGCACACCTGTGCAACTATAGAGACTTTTAACACTCTGGTCACTAAGCGGAAAAACTGGACACTTTATCATATCTCAAACTCGATGGGAGTGAACACACTCAACCATTTTGACCGTTTCGAGGCTCACAACAACAGATCTGACATGCAAAGAATGGAATGTATTCTGATAACAATGGCTATTGGTGGAGCAACCAGAGACGCTGTTACTTGTGTCTGTCGGACCTTAATCAGCAAGACCTCTTTGACTTGCATTCGGATTGAGCCAAAGCTGTCCAAGAGAAGGTAGCGCGCTTGAAACAGACGCTATAGGTCTTTAGGCATTATAAATGTCCTCATCTCATCCCCTTTGTTACAGTCATGGTGCGGCCACCCCATAGCATGGATCCTGAGGGTTTGGGAGTTGCACCACGTGTTTGACATGGCCTGCCTTGGCTGAGTGGTGCAATCGTGAGAGTGTTCCACAGCTCCGGTGTTAGGGAAGAACCGTTGGTTGGGAGTTCTGGGCTGGGTGCTGGGATATACTCCAAGCCTCTGGCGCCCTGGGCTGCCAATTCCGAAGCAATAGCCGAGGAGACCGAGACAGCTGAGCTTCTGTATCCTTCGTAATCGCCGGATTCCAAGTAAGCATGTATGTCTAGGTGCTTGGCAATGCAGTCCATTGCTGGTCCATCGATTCCTGGCGATTCGATGCCCCTGCCAACAGGGACTAGGACCGACAGTATGCCATCAGGTCTGGTGTAGACAGTATATGCGATACCTGTGTCAATGAGACACTGCAAGAAGCTCGCTGCAGAATCCTGAGAAACGTCCGTCTGCACAGCCCGCTGAGCTGCCATTGTGGAGCCTGCGAGGGTCGCCGTGATGAGCGCCACGTTGAACTTCATTTTCACAATAGGCAAGGATGCTTTCTGTTCTTTTCTGGTCGTATGAAAAGGAAATGGAGAATCAGGAAGGATGGTGAAGAAGTGAGGGAGACAGCAGCTGCCAGAGCGGTATGTGTATCTGGCGCTCGATATTTTTCATCATCCAGAAATCACACAATTCCAGGATCGGACGTACTGTAGAGTTCGAATAATACAATGATGGACTGGAATGTTCAGCCACCAACAGAAGTATGAAGGATAGCAAAGGCACAAGCAAAAGGCCAATCGAGGCAGCTCACCACAGCGAAATGGGTGGCACCACAATCATACCAATAATATATTCATACTTGTGATCGTAGTTTAAGAAAGTTTTTAAACAGTCATTGAGGCTGTGTAAGCCTCTTAGGCCTGATTTTCAATATTAGTGCGGTCCTATTCCGTCTTATTGAAAGGGAGGATTGAAACAGATTCTGGAGCTTTTGTGTGGAGGCACCAACGTCCAATCACCCACAACTGAATGGGAGCATAAGCCGATGCCGGCGCAACATGTTTCTGCGTCATGGGCAATAATTTCTACAGACCACTCGCCACAACACAGCATTTTGCAGCTCCATTGGCAAACGCAATGTGGTCCGCTCGACATACTGCCCGCCTGGCTAGGCCGCAGTGGTGTCCCAGAAGCCAATGGCAGACATCGTGAGCTCCCTCACCACCTGGACAAAATGCGAAAACGAAGCTGACACTGGTGCCCTTGTAGACGAGCTTTCCCCCAGACGATCAGAGCCCGCAGCACCGTCGATGACGAGCTGCTCGGCGCGGCGGCGAAGGAAGTTCCCAAGGATGCCCTCAATAAGACCAGTCGCTTCATCACGCAGCCCAAGTCGCAAGGCGCATCGCAAGCTATGCTCTACGCCACGGGGTTCTCGGAGGATGACATGAACAAGGCTCAAGTCGGAGTGTCGTCCGTGTGGTACTCTGGCAATCCTTGCAACATGCATCTCATGGATCTCAACAACGCCATTGCTGCTGGAGTGCGGAAGGCTGGGCTTAAGAGCATGCAATTCAATACTATTGGGGTCAGTGACGGCATCTCAATGGGCACAAAAGGCATGCGCTACTCCTTGCAGTCTCGCGACTTGATTGCCGACTCTATCGAGACTGTCATGAGCGGCCAGTGGTATGATGCGAACATTTCGATCCCTGGGTGCGATAAGAATATGCCCGGTGTGATCATGGCTATGGGCAGGGTGAATAGGCCTGCAATCATGGTCTATGGTGGTACTATAGCTGCCGGGTGTGGCAAACATCCCAACAACTCCAAGCTGGATATCGTCTCGGCTTTCCAAGCGTACGGACAACACATTACGGGTCAGATTGACGAGGAGGAGCGATTCGACATCATTCGACACGCATGTCCGGGCAGTGGCGCATGTGGTGGTATGTATACTGCCAACACCCTGGCATCGGTGATCGAAATCATGGGCATGACACTTCCTGGCTCCTCGTCGAACCCGGCCATGTCACAAGCCAAGCTAGACGAGTGTCTGGCGGCGGGTGAGGCTATCCGCAACCTGCTGAAGGAAGACATTCGGCCAAAGGACATTATCACGCGACAGGCCCTGGAGAACGCTATGATCCTTGTAAACATCACAGGTGGCTCAACGAACGCGGTGCTGCACTTGATCGCCATTGCTCATAGTGTCGGCATCGAGTTGACTCCCGAAGACTTCCAAGCCGTGTCTGACCGCACACCGTTCTTGGCTGACCTGAAGCCGTCTGGCAAGTATGTCTTCGAAGACCTGTACAACATCGGCGGCACTCCATCTCTGCTCAAGTTCCTGCTGAAAGAAGGCGTGATCGACGGCTCTGGCATGACGGTCACAGGCAAGACGCTCGCACAAAACCTCGAGAAAGTCCCCTCCTTCCCAGCAGACCAGGACATCATCCGGCCCTTCTCCAACCCCATCAAATCAACCGGCCACATCCAGATCCTGCGCGGCCAGCTAGCCCCCGGTGGCTCGGTGGGCAAAATCACGGGCAAAGAAGGCACCGTCTTCACCGGCAAAGCCCGCTGCTTCGATGCAGAAGACGACTTCATCGCCGCCCTGGAGCGCGGGGAGATCAAGCAAGGCGAGAAGACGGTCGTCATTATCCGGTACGAGGGCCCCAAAGGAGGTCCCGGTATGCCGGAGATGCTCAAGCCGTCGAGCGCGATCATGGGTGCCGGTCTGGGCCAGGACGTAGCGCTCATCACGGACGGACGGTTCAGCGGTGGGAGTCATGGATTTTTAATCGGACACGTCGTGCCTGAAGCCCAGGAGGGTGGACCGATTGCGCTCGTCAAGGATGGGGATGAGATTACTATCGATGCGGAGAAGAGGGTCATTGATACCGATGTCTCCGAGCAGGAGATGGCGAAACGGAAGGAGAGCTTCACTGCCCCGCCGATCAAGTATGCCCGCGGCACGTTGAAGAAATACTCTAAGCTTGTGGCCGACGCGAGTCACGGTTGCATCACGGATGGAGATTAGGGAGGAGGAAATGCATGTAGATCTTTGTATGATGAATGCAAATTCGAAAAGTACTTTTTATTCTTGTCTTTCTTAACGTGTCAGGTTTCGCTCGACATTGTGCACTACTCTGCTCACTTGCCCAGCACCAACAAGCAAATCGCGGCAAACGACAGCCTCCGCCTGCTCGAACAGCATGGGATGGCCGCTTTCTCGTCTGATAATTTCCATCACCTTCACAAGCCCGTCCCTTAGCTCAGCAGCCTGCACATCCTTGAAGCGGTACTTCCGTCGCAATCCCAACAGTACATCAGCGGCGTACACCACTCGGAGGACTGGTACAAATACATCAGCCTCAAACGATGCTCTGCCAAGAGCTTGTGGGGATGACACGAGCGCTTTCACCGACTCAAGCGTCCATTTGTGTAGCTGCTGTCTCGTCTCAGGCGCGATCGCCTGGCAACCCAGTCGCAATGCAAGATGGCTCCAGACGCGGGCCTCCCTTGCCGGATCGATGAAGAGGTTCTGCTTTTCGTGTGCAAAGAGAGCTTGATCTTGGCTTGTCGCTGCTAACAATTGGGATGAGATCGAGGTAAAGGAAGATGTCAATCTGTCTATGGAAATGTCGAAAAGGTAAGGGTCGTCGTTGCGGCGAGACACCAAATGTTTGAGAAGAGTCAAACCTGAGGCTAAAGGCACGGTAGCGGGGACCGATGTGTTCTCAGTGAATGTAATATTGGAGAATCTTGTCGCCGCTGTGGCGGCAAGGTCTCTCACTTCGTCGTCGTCGTCGTTTGTCAAGTCGTAGATCAGTACAGCCAAGTCAATATGCAGTCGAGAGCTCGAAGATTCCGACTCGAGCATTTCACGGCTGCTCTGAATCTCATTGACGGCGGCGGCGGCAGCAAACCGAGTATCAAATGGCTGAACGTCTTGTGCGGCATCTTTGACAAGCAGCAGCCACTGACAGAGACTGTGTATCGTCTTGGTCGAGGTCGAGGCTGCACTGAGCTCAATGTCCAGAAGTATCGCAGAGAGGATCAACGCGCTATCGCGTTCAAGTGGAGTCGCATTCAAAGGCAGAACGTCTACTGCCAAGGGCAAGTAATCGCTCAGGCCTGGACTCAGTTGTTGCCTGTGTTTTGACAAAATCGCAGCCAACGACTTGGCGGCAGCATGAGAGATATTGCCATCCCCGACCTTCACTTCATCGAGCAGTCCCGCCACAGCGCAGATATAGTCCTCTGTATTCCAGTGTACCTCAACTCCCCGGTGCCCAAAGAAATTCGAGCCCTGTTCGAGCATGGTAATACAGGCGTCCGCGTCGAGTGATGCGAGTGACTTGAAAACGGGTAGCCACGGTACAGCGGT